TCTACGTTCTTTGTTTTGACTGTATACTTTATTAAAAATACCTTTAGATAGATAGATAATTTATGAGGTATGCACTGCGACCTAATGATCTATTGTGCCCTCCACTCTTCGCAATACTTCCTCCAAGCCAAGATCCCCCAGCAAGTCCCAAAGCTTCTTTGGGGATGACTCTCTAACTCTCGCTCTAACTGTGGCCACATGGAGCATAAACTCCTCTCACGTCTTCTGCTGACTGCATCACACGCAATGAGGATGTGGAGTGGCGTTTCACTGGAGACGTCGCAGAACCGGAAAAGGTCATTCGGTCGTAACCCCAGTTTATACATATGCCTTCCCAGTCTGCAGTGCTGTAAGAAAACCTGTTAATATTCTCAGCCTCTCCTTTGGGACGCTAATTAAACTTTTGAATCTACCATTGTAGTACCCTCCTAGCAGGCTTTTTGCCTATCGCATACCTACCGAACTCTACCAGTTCGAGTCCCTCATATTGTACCTCTCCTCCCTGAGCTTTTCCTTAATAGTGTTGGGATCCACTCCAAGGAACGGCTCCGGGCCAATTGGAGTAATGGCTGCCGCCTCTCCAGCGAGACAGTCCGCCGCTTCATTCCCTTCTATTCCCGTATGGCCAGGCACCCACGCCAGTTTGACGTTGCTGTGCCTATGCACTCAAGGAATAGAGACGATTTAATTTCGAAAGATAACAGAGCCTTGAGTGCCTGACTGTCACTAAGAATTACAATCCTCTCATGACGGTATCCTCTATTAATGATGGTCGGGATAGAGATCCTGGACCTAGGTCCGGAGATACCAGCCCCTATTCCTTCCGGGGTCTTCGAGCCATCTGTGTACCACTGCAGTGTACTATCCTGAAGGAGTCTCTTGAAGGAGGAGGCACTCCAGGTTGTCTTACTGCTTAACTCAATTTTAAACCTCTTTTCAAACCTTATGGTTCTACAAATGTCATCCCTCGGAAGCAGGGCTAGCGGGAGCGAGGACCCTGGCTTCGCCATGTTCCTAGAGGAAATGACCTTACCTCTTCCATGACCCTCTCTAGTGAAATTAAGCAGAGTTCTTTTGGCCGCCAGTTCTATAGTTATGTACAGGGGCTCGAGTTCAAAAAATACCTTTACAAACCTCTGTTCCTTCCTAGTGCAATTTTTGTTTACTTTTACATTTGACATTCCTCCTCTTCTCCGCAAGTATAATCGAAAAAGTTATCGGTTTAATCTGGAATAATTTTAAAATTATAATAGGCCCTTCAGAATGGGTACTTCTTCGTCAATAACGGAAAAGTATGCTAAGGAAGTGGCGTACGTACCGTAGAGATACGCTACAATGAAGGTGTTGCGTCTGCAAACAAAAATCAGCTGTTCCTTATGGCCGCGCACTTGGGGCTTATACAAGTCAAATTTTCAGATATAATAGCAAAACATTCAAATTTTGTTTACTAATATATTCCCCCTTCTCTTGATGGCTACGTTTCTTTATACATTCCGGATAATCTCATTTCACAGCCAGAATAAACAGAATGTGTTTGAAATATACGTTAACATATCATCAGGAACGTTCTAAAGAATAAGTAAACAAAAAAGATTATTCCAAACGTTCAGAATGAATAAAGAAATTCAGCCGATGTCTTCATCACTGTCTTTGGCTTTACGAAGACAGTTTATTGTCTGGATGCCTACTGACGGTTTTGAAGTATTTTTTTGTTCTAATGTTATTAATAAGACGTCTAATAAATGCATGGCTTTTAGTTCTAGAAGAATCAAAGTAAGTAAATATAAATATTTTTTGTATAATTTCTGCATTTTAATTGCCCAACTTCTTTTGCACTAGCGCAACTGCAATTTCCAGCAGTAAAAATTGACGAATTGGCAACGTCGCGTTCTTACGCGATCTTGTGTTTTTGGTTCATGGTTCTACAAAGTCTGCAATCGATTATGAAACATCGATATTTACGTCTTACCATCGATAACATAGAATATCGATGAATAGCGGACATCCCTGTAAGGCGCATTGCCAAAACGAAGTCAATTTTTATTCGAGTTCTGAGTTGAGAGCTATCCAAACATATACAAATTTGTGATTTGGTGAAAATGGAGGCCCACGGCTTGTGTTTATACATTATATTATTCTGCATAGTTTCTAATCGGCATGCCGTGCTATGCACACATGAAGAAGACAGTTGGATTGAACCGGACGCTTGGGGACGTGAACAATCACTTCGGAATTCTCATCAAAAAAACAATTTGGAGAATGGGGAATCCTCTTCAGATTCCAAGTGCAACGTCATAATTGGCAGCAGCCACAGTACAGACACCGTCACATTGATGTACTACAAGAGGCTCATTGCGTATTTGTTTAATAACGATTCGCTCAAGGTAGGTGATTAACAACAAATTCGGCATGGTATTACAAGTGTGGGTTGCAATACATGCTGATGACATCATAGCTCCCCTAGCCGGTGTTTTGTTTGCAAATACATATGTATGTATTGTACATATGTATCAACAGTATTTTTATTAATTACGCTTTACATATTTTTGGTGTGCTGTTTAGTACGATAAGGAGACTGGGAAATACAGTCGTGCAATCATACTCACCGTCCTTCCCGGTCAATTAGAAAGATTAACGAGTTTAAACGATCCACGCGACTTGGATAGTGTTCTAACTCAAATCCTAACAAAAGCGAGAGAACCTAATCAAGATGATTGTTACTACTGCAATGGCCGTTCTGGACCTGGTAGTATGGGCATTTTTGACCTTATTTGGGATATCATCAAGGATGTTGCGCAGCTATTGAAAGCTTCCGAGGTAAGCGAGTTTGTAACATGCACCAAAATTTCAAATCAAGTTTATACGTAGCATTCGCATGCATACATATCGTCGTTTAAAGTACAAAACCGCGTATCAAGATAATGCAAAACCGCGTATGTGAGTTTGCATAAATTATTTTGTGGAGAGTAAAAACACTAATATTTTTAAATTGTTATGTCTTTTATAAAGCAATCGCATTTCTAGCTGGGTGTATTTGAGGACGAATAAATAAGGCTTGAGCCAAGAGCTTCGGTGACCAAATCCAATTTTTGGCAAAAAATGTCAGTTACGCGGTTTTGCAGAACGGTAATTCGCTGTTTTGTACTATGAAAGACGATATGTACATATGTATATACCCATACAGATGCGTATGTATGATATTGGATTTATGTGTATCAAATTCCGGAAGTTGTAATTGTTTACAGTAAGCCAACTTATTATTTATCGACTAATTTTAATAAAACCCCATTAACATACATACTTGCCAAAACATTTGTGTATCAATAGATACAGTATTGTCCAATACAATAGCACCCCTATTACAAAGTGTGAGTTTGGCACTCATGTTTATTTATTTTTAGGAACTTTCAATTAAAATACAGTTCGTTCTCCAACAAAACGCATATAAACCTAAGTTGAAAAATTTGTAGAAAACTTCAAAAAATACAACAAATTTTCACCCAATGTTCAAACTTTTTTCTCAGAA